CTTGAGGGCAGAAACACAAGCTAAAGTTGCTTTTCAAGACACAAAGACGTGTGCTAATATGCCACCTTGGGATCCAAAGCACTCGCTAAAGTGCCCTCTTCATGACCTTTATTTTTTTTTCCGCCCATACCCTTCAAAAAGTCTGTCCATTCTTTTGAGCAACTTTAAATCGCTGGAACGGGTAGAGCTGTTGAGAAAGATCCAACCAGCTCATGGAGGTATGGAAAATAGCAGCACAACTCAGAACATCTAAAACATACCAACCCGTTATTAATCAGGCCGCAGGAATCAACCAGCGACGCAAACACAGGCCATCATTTTATCAGCTCTACTTGTATATCTAATTAGATAATAAAGACAGATTGTTACACCAAACCCAGAGCCTCAATAATAAAATCTTACTCTGCCTTATTGCTGCACTGGCATAAAAAAAGACCAAAACAAGTCAACAAATATAAATTGCAAAGACCACCAGCTCCTAGAAAAAGCTTCCCTGCCTGCAAACACTCACACCATGCTTATAATTTATTGGTCGTTTACATAGAAAACATAAAGCGGAGTTTATAGACGGCTGAGCAGATGGACAAGTAATCCTGGATTTTTTTTTTTACGCCCAGATAATAGCTAATCACATGCTTTTATTAAAGCTGAGCACAAGCTTTTAGACAGTCTGATGTCTGCTCTGCATAACGCTTGGCTTCAAAACAAAAATGCCTGTTAAATAAAAGAGAAAGTGAGTGTGCATTGCTTCTGATAGAATTCAAAAATACAGTAGACCCAGAAGGCGCAAACTAGTTGGCTTGAGTTTTACGACACAGCCTGAGCAAAAAGGCACCACAAAGCAATCCAACACTATCTCCCACCTACACAGCAGGCAGGAGACAAAACAGCGAGCGTGTGAACAATCTGTTCCCTGTTCTTGGTTCTGATGAGCTTGTTTCAATGTCTGACGAAGCCCATTGAGTTGTGCTGACACCAGATGTCCTGGAATAATTGGCTTTTCTCTGCCTACCTGTTATCCCTTCACCAGGCGCTTTGAATAGGGAAATGATCTGAGCAAAGGCAGCGTCCAGGTGTCTGAGTGATCTTTGATTGGAGGAAGGAGGGAAACGGAGCTTCTTGGGGGCGTCTAAAGTCTCTGTTAGCTGCTTGATTATGGAGGGAATTTAGCTCTATTGTTGTTGCATTCTAAGAACATGATTTTTTTTTTTTTTTTTTTTGCGAAATTTAAAAAGACAAATGCTGTCCGCAAATAAAACGTAAAAAAAATATATATATTTTAATCAAAACAAAAGGTTTTAAGACTAACTTGTGTTCTCAGAGCAAGCCCCCAGAAGTTAAGAGAATGAGATTTTTGCTAATGAAATTTGAAAAGAATGCTATTAATATAACTGAAAAAAGATTATTTTTTTAAAAATATATGAAAAAAACTAAATCTGAGGAAACAGCAAAGTTATTCCCAATTTTTTTTCCCAACGTTTTAGTTTTGGTTAGCATTTCTTTTCCAACATCCATTTACAAACTTTGTCTCTACTTGCAACAATAATGGAACAAATTTCACCCCATAGGTGATCATAGAAATGGAGATTTATATAACTTTTAAATCCCTTCTTGACCATATCTTCCTGTAATTAAAGCAGAAGCTCTTTTATTTTATTTCTCTCCTTATAATAAACTCATAGTTATCTTTAAGTGACATTACAATTCTGTAAATTCCTGTGTTACATCCTTGGTAAGTTTGCTGTTGCTATAGGTTGAACTTGAAGTATAGTACCTTTGCAAGGTATTAAATTAAGGTGCTAAAATTATTCATTTACACAGCCAAACAAATATGTGCAATATTTTTAGCAGTATTTAGTAAGTAGTTGAGTTGAATAGAATGTGGTTAATTCAGCCTAAGAGGCTCTAATTGTCTGGATTGGATGCCCTTCCTGAATCACTTGCAGCCACATGCGCCTGCTGTCACAAGTTCAAACAACTTAGTCCCGATCAAAGACAGCAGCTGACGGTGAGAAATGAGTTTGCGGTCATCTGGCGCTCCAAGTCCCGACAAAGACTTCTTAAGTGATGTTCAGGGAACAGCTGCAGCGGCTTGTTCTGAAGGGTTCTTTCAACAGCAGAAGGATGTCTTCCTGTTGGTCTTCTCTTCAAGGTGTAGGACATTCTCTACAGCAGAGGTTCCCAGACTTTTCTTAGTTCCCCAGAGGAAAGCTTTCTCTAATAAAATAATCTTCATTCCCCTTTTAATAAAGGAATCCGATCTTTTAAACAACTTATTTTAGTTTCCCTGTGTAATGGAAATAAACTTAGAAATGACCTCTCAAGATTGATCACTTATTAAAGCCCCCGTTGCAATGAAAAGGTTCAGGGATTGACTTTTTTTACATCATGTGAAACCCTCTGTTTCCTTTTTTTAAATGACATTAGTATCAATTTTATGACCTAAAAAGCACATGAACACATTTTTTTGTTATTGGTAATACAATAGTGTTTACTTTAATACCCATTTTAAAAATATTCATGTCCAGTAAAGGATGTTTCTTATCATTATTAATTAAAAGATGGAAAGGGGCTGCTCAGTGGATGTTCTAGGGCTTTCTGCATGAGGTTTGCATGTTCTCCCTTCACATACGTGGTTTCTCTCCAGATACTCCGGCTTCCAGTCCAAAAACATGACTGTTAGGGTAAATGACATTAAACTCCCCAGAACTCTAAACTCTCCTGAGGTGTGCATTGGTTGTTTGTTCTGTTTGTCTCTGTGTTGCCCTGCAATGGACTGGCGACCTGTCCAGGGTGTTCCCCGCCACTCGCCTGTAGACAGCTGGAGATAGGCACCAGCAACCCTTACGCCCCCGCTTGGGATAAGAGTGACGGTAAATGGATGCATCGATAAAACACAGAAAATCGGTCCAACTAGGTGTAACCATAGGGAGTATTTACGGTACTGTCACTCACCCCAGCAGAGCCATGGCAACCTGTCATCCAATGGCTTTAAAGGTTGTCACGTTATATGCCTATTCAAAAAAAGACCAAAAACTATGTAATGGTGATAAAATAAGTTAATATGCACCAAGCATCCATTCTGATAGTGTTTAGTTAGTCTTAAGACTGGTTTATACTCAGAAACCAGGTCATATGCTTTTGTGTCACAGTGAACGCCTCTTCCACAGAAACTCTGCTGCTCCTAGGTGACTGCAGACAGGAGCCCTCTGATTGGCCAACTCTACATCCGCTCTACACTATGCGTATTTCCTGTTTGGTACCTTACCAGATTGTTTTTGTTTGTATTACCCCTATTGAGGAAAACGACTCATAAAGATGCACCAGCTAGAAGAGCGAGGTGCACGAGAACACTGGGACCCTTTTCCCACCTGGATCCCTGCTCTTTTTTGCCCTCATGTCCCTCCATTGTCGCACAAACTTTCTCCCACTTCCTCAGCCTCGGCCGGATCTAGACCCACAGCTATAGTTCCTGATTGTCCCTCTTGCGTTGTGGCGTGGAATAACATAGCGCAGACCACGCTTTAATATTGGGCATAAATCAAAAATATCTGCGACAAGTTTACTGCGACATACTGCTGCGGGAGGATAACCAGCCCTTTAGCCTAAATAGAATTCCTACACCGGCTGAGATGAGCAGATATAAGCAGAGGTATACTGCTGGCAGTAATGTGGAACTATCATAAGGCCAGATGACGGAAATTGAGGCAGCAACTTATTAGAAGCCGACGGTCCTGTAATGCAACATGGTTAAGCAACAGTTTGGTGTGGTCGAAGACCAATTAATTAATTAGACAAACCTGCAGCCACTACTTAAAACATCAAGGAAAACACTTTTTCTAACATTGTTTTCACACTGGATCTTGGACTTTTCTTAATTTTTTTTACAACTTTGTCGGGAGGCGCCAATTAGCTTGGCTTCAATACTTCCTGTGCAGTATGTAAATGTAATGCAAATCCCTTTATTGTCCCAAAATGGGGAAATTAACTATCTGTATTTAATACATCCCCTTGAAGAGCAGCTAGCTGCCATTTGCAGCATCCGGGGAGCAGTGTGGGATCAAGGGTCTTGCTCAGGGACCCTGAGTCGAGACTGTAGGAATCAAACCGGGTACTTGCAAGCTTCTCAGAGCACAAGTGCACTGCTCTAACCACTATGCCAACACTTCCCCCAGTATCGTACCACTGGGCTATCAAAAATGTACATGAAGAGCTTTACTTTGGCAGAATCTCAGCAAAAGGAAAGCATTCAGATAAGAATAACAAATATGCCGACAAAATGTGATTACCTTTCAGAAAAACTTTGCATGCAACCAGAGTGAGATACTGGCGTATACATTTCTTTAACTCATATAACATGACTGCATCTTTACTAAACATTTTCCTTGACATGCTACAGGCTGTAAAAATGTTAGTTGTGTCACCTGGATCAGAGATCTGGAAACCTTTTTATCATTTCGTTAAAAAAAAAAAAACATAGCCACTATTTTATACTTGCTCATATCTTGCTTTTGCATGCATTCAGTGCTGTCTCATCTCTACGCTACAGATCAATTGACCTGTGTGAGGTCAACGTAAACACCTATTACTGTTGGTTCTTCAATTGTCTACAAGTGTAGTAGATAAAAGTGAAATCCAGATATTGATTTTCAGCAACAATTTGCTGCAGCAGCACAAAGCTCACCATGGATGAAATCATGACGAATTAGAAGGGTTTTAGACAACAGAGCGGCCGCAGCCACGTGCACAGTTCACTTTACTCACTCGCAGTTTGTCTAAGCGGCAGCAACTGGCAGTGAAACCCAACTCTCTTGCTACATTTAGACCAGGAAACACGGGGTGAGAGGTGAAACGGCTGTAAAGGATTGAAAGGCTGGAGACCGACTTAGGCGGGAGACTCTTAAACGGGTCGTTAAAGTGACCCCACTGAGCCCCGGGGTCCATTCAAAAAAAGAAACCACACAAGACGCCAGGCAGGGATTTTTTTTTTCTTTGTTTTTTTAATGGAATGTATCTTTTTGAGGTATGAAAATAAAACTCTGTGGGAATAAGAAATTGGACAGTGGAATGATGAAAACAGGAAGGCATGTTGGAGAAGCATCACGCCGGCCGTGATAGATAAAGGGCACCGCTATGGCCCTGTGTGGGAGATGACAGCAACACAGAGGCATGTGTTGGATCAACTGTGATACAAAGGCAAGCGTTGGGAAAAACCTCCACGCAGAAAAGGAAACCTCAGAAGCCACAGTGAAATACAGCACGTCCTGGTGCAACACAAGACATGTATCGATGAACGTTGCTCTGCATCACCACATTCACCAGGATTATTATGTTTCCTTTCCCATCAACACCTTTTAATGCCTTCAATATGTAAAGCAGATTCATATTTTTATTACAAAGACACAAACTGAGCTGCAACAGTGACTAATTGAGATACATATTGGTTTCCTTCTTTATTCTTACACAGTCATACGCAAGTGGTCTGGATCTAATTAGAAAGAATGAACAGGGATTAGCTGAGCGTCTCCAGGAAATTAATATACACTAGCAAAGGATAGCTGAAAATAAAATGTAATGCAATGTAATGTAATGCTTTTAAACTATAGTGGTGTATTTAGATCAATAAGCTAATTTGTAGAGCTTTCAATACAATCTTTAATTAATCTGTCACACCAGTGGTGTGATAGCGACATGATTTTACATGATAATTAGGAGATTTCGCCATCTGCTAGCTAAATAGTCACTAGCTTGGCAGTATCTTTGGTGAACCTAATTCTGGGAATGCAAACCAGCTCCATGTTTAATGCTATGCTAGCATAGCTATCGTTAAATGCTAATGTAGTCCCTATATGCTAATGTACGCTACCATTAGTGGTATCAGCTAATATTTAACAGGGAATTTTAACAACACGCCCTAGCGGCACTGTTGAAAAAAAGATTGTAGAATAATACTTTGAATTAGGACATATATCACAACAGATACAGGTAATCTGTGTTCAAATAAGCGGCCATTTTGGATTTGGAGATCACCGCGATGAGAAACATTGCACTGTCCAGAGTTGAATTCTGACTTTAGAGTGCTTTTTAAAATGTCCCATACCAGAAAACATTTATTAGACTAATCTAAAAAATAAAATAAAATAAAAAAAACAGTTGGTAAGCTAACCATGCAAGCTAGGAGTACGTTAGATTAGCTTGCTAAACTGCTACGTTCTGCGCCCAAAGACGTTTCAACTTTACTTTTTTCTATATTTGCTAATCGCCAATTCTCATTCCCACTTCAGATCTATGCCTCATCATTTCTTGTTGTTTTCTACTTCCATTTTTCTATCAGTAAAGTATTTTAAGCCCCTGTACTGGCCATCATGTTTTGCTGCGAATTAGCTGTTGCTATTGCACCGTGACGCAAACATGAGACTGCTGTTTTGTTCAGTTTGTCCATGTCCATTTTTGTCTGTCCCTACCAAATAAACTTAAAAAAAAAAATTTGGTAATGCAGCAAATTTAACTAAATTCTGGTTCTGATCCATGTTTGGACTAGGACAGGGGCCTGCAACCAAACAGCCATTTTGCCCCAATTCCAGCCAGCAATATAATATAACCTTTTAATAGAACTCAAGTTACTATTATTGTTAATTTTCTGCTATAGGAAATCTGTTGCCATTTTAAATAACCAACATATGTATTTTTTGCTTTTAAGCAAAAAAATACACAATTTCCAACTTGATGACAAGAAAAATAGATCTAAAAAACATGTTTTTAGTTATTTTAAGGGGTTTCTATTGTGAAAATGCCATTAAATATTGTTTAAAAAAAATTATCATTTTCAGCCACTAATAGGAGCCATTGTAGACGCTGCAGATAGTCACAGACCCCTGGCTTAGGTACTCATAAGAAAAAAATAATAATACTAGAGTTATAGTCATGATACTAGGAGTACATAAGTAGGAAAATTGTCCTAAACAATTGGGTTTTAAAATAAGAATAAAATCTGCATCCTTTTGGATAGAAAGGACTTTTTGTACCTGAAAGTCTTTTAGTGAAAAACTAAAATTATAATAAGTTTTATAAACTGAAGAGGTGAAAATATGTTTACTTTGTTTTACATCCAAATAAAAGAAAAAAACAGTATGTTATGTTATATTATGTTATCTATCTCCAATAATCCAAAGGAAACAGGTATCTGTCTAGTTAATGTCTTTAAATTCTAAAAAAAAAAAAGGGAAATTTTCTATATTGGACCTTAAACTACATGGAGACCTCTGATTTACAAAGATGAAAATCCAACTTCTCTGACTAAATCAAACGCATCAAAAGCTGACAAAGCAAATTTCCTTCATGCTTTCTTAGTATTCAAACCTGCCTGTGTTGTCACCAAAAAAAAAAATAATAACAGTAGCTGGAAATCCTTTCAGAAGCACAATAAGCCTCATGATTTAGCACCGATTTTATAAGTTGTGACATCTCCAGTGTAGCTTTTTCACTAAGATCCAACCTAATATATTATGTTTCCAGTAAGATGTCTCTGAAGCAGCTCAGTTTTTTTCAAACAATAAGTTTCTTTCACTGTTAATAAGCCAGAATGAGTTCTAAACAAGTTTCCTTCTATTTACAAATGCAGCAAAAATAGAACTGAGGGAAAAAAACAACTAAAGCACACGATGGAAACACTGAGATATCAAGCATATAAAACCAATTGTTCATGTTCTCCATTTATACATGTTTAGTGTAGTGGGAGGAAACACTGCACAGAAACAGAACTGTATAAAATGAGTCTTTGGCTCTGTTAGAAAATAAAAGCAGGAGTAGAGAAATGTTTAAGCCGTCTACAGAAACCTTCCCCTTAAGGTTCCGGTTTGTTAGACGTTTTCTACGTCAACCAAATGCTTCCTGTTCCACTCCAGCAAATCCCACCTTTGACATTCAAAGACAGAACATTTTTATAAAAAATAGATATATACACACACACATCTAATAAATAAGGGACAAATCCATTGCACGGTAGAATACAGGTGTTTTCTCACATGCTTTTAGTCCATCAGTCTTTTGTGAAGCAAGTCACTGTATTAATAACAGAGGTGGGAGGGTGGGGGGGGGCTGGTGTGTGGAGACCACGACATAAAACGAGAGCTCGGTGAAGCGGCAGCAGGGGGAGATGAAGCCCGGGTTTATATTCTTCCACGGCTGAGAGTCAAATCCACCTGAAGATGCAAACAGTTTACAGAGAAAATGTAAAATCATGCAGTTTTATAGAGCATTTAACCATTATTACAAAATCCATATACTTATTGACCACAAATGAAACAATCTGACTGAGGAAGTGCAGAAGGTTACAGTGAAAATAGGAAACAGTTTCAGCCCTGAAGGGGTTCAATAAAAGCTCCTGTATGTTTTGAAAGATCATCCGTGATTATTGAACATCTAACCTTTCATGTTTCCGATCTGACAGATCAGCTGATCTTTAGCCCCGTCATGCTGGGACTCAAAGGTTCCCTCCTCTCTTGGTTTCATGGGATTAATACATCATAGCAGGGTCAACTGTGACTTTAATGTGGTGACATGGGTATTGGTCGGCATGGCAACAGCTAAAAACGCAATCATCCTTTGTGATGTTCGCCAAAAAAATCTAATTACACTGTTATAATTATAATTATACTTAACTAACACTTAGTTAAGTGCTTAGTTTTCATTAGTTTTAGTTATAATTTTATTTTTAAATGCGATTTACAGAAGGTTCTAAGTTTGATTCCTGGTTTAATGCTCTTAAAAAATAATTGTAATTATATATACATATAAAACAAAATCCTCTGTCATCTTTACCATCAATAGGCTGCAGCCATGTCCCTAATTCCTCGTTTTCCAGTCCAAAATTAGCATTTTCTCCCATTCTCTAGACTTTTCTCTGACTCAAGCTTCTTTTCCGAACATACGGCTTTACGATCATATCTGACGAGATTGTTTTTATAATAGTAGTTTTTTTTTAAATAAAGCATTTTAAGTGCCATGATAATCACATTTAATGAATTTTAATTTTAAAAATAATAATTAAATGACTTTTAATGATTTTTAACACTGTTTCTGCATTGGTGTTTGCATGTTCTCCCTGTGCATGCGTGGGTTCTCTCCGGGTACTCCACCTTCCTCCCACAGTCCAAACACATGACTGTTAGGTTAAGTTGTCCTTAGGTGTGAATATGTGTGTATGCATGGTTGTGTGTCTCTGTGTTGCCTTGTCCAGGATGTACCCCGCCTCTCGCAGACTGACTGGAGATAGGCAACGGCCCCACCGCGACCCTGACAAGGACTAGGAGGGAGAAGATGGATGGATGGATGGATGGATGGATGGATGGATGGATGGATGGATGGATGGATGGATGGATGGATGGATGGATGGATAAAAAAGGAACACAAATGACCTGACTGCTTTACTGCCACCTGCTGGAGTGATGCAGTATAGCAAAAAAAAAGGCGAAAACAGCAGCCGGTAACAGGACCCGATATTAAAGGAATAGTACACCCAAAACATGATTAGCCTTCATTTTCTACTCACCCCCATGCTGAACAACACTCTGGAGTACTTTTT